GTTCTTTTTTCTTTTGTCTGCTCCATGGATGTGTTTCACTGAACAAAGTAAAAGGGTAGATGAAGCATTGTTTTCTGCATGTGTTCATGGATGCATTCATGAATGCCACAGGCACAAAAAGAGTCCCAGAGGGATTTGGAGGCACACAGAAGCTGCAAAGCTGTTCCTATAATGAGGAATGCAAAATTTTATGTGCCTGAACACTTTTGTCTCCAGGGGTCACAAAGATGGTGGAACTCTGGGGATTAAGTAATGTAGCATCGCTGCTGCCCAAATTGCCCCAGTGTGGAAGGGATTATGACTCTGAAGTAATTCTTCTCCCCCTAAGAAGTTTGGATTTATGGGAGAAGGCCAGATTAAGAAACTCATGGGGTTTCAGGCAGGGGGATATTGAGGACTAAGCTCAATATTGAGGAATATTCCCAGGCGAGTTGCTATCTTTTTGCATTTTTAACTGCTTACCTGCAATGCTCTTCTGGCAAATGTCCAGTATGAGAATGGCACCCCTCTCCCCTGAGGAATTCTGAATTAAACAGAAGGAGCAAGGTTTATTTTGAAGACTTTTTACTTTGTACTGTTACTGTTCTGCCTGGATTCCAAGACAAACTTTTGGGGCCACAAACTCATTTGGTCATTTGAGAAGCTCCCCAGATTGTCGCCACAGAATGGCTACCCTGGGAGTTAAGACAGAGGGCAGTTTCGCTGCCCAAAAGACTGAGTACCAGGCAGAGGTGGGAGCTGAGCCCGGACAGACTTTTCCATCCCACATCAAGGGAATTTTAAAATGCTCCCAGCTGCTGGTAGGAAAATGTGATGATTTTTAAAAAGAGTGGGAGGGGCAGGTTCCTTTATGACCCCCGAGAAGGGAGTCTGGGGTGCCTTCACCCCGATAAAGGGTGTGTGGGGATGGCACGTGCCCGTTTATCATTCTTCGGCGGAGGGGGAGGAGGGAGGGGCCACGCGCTCGCTCCACGGAACAGACCGGCTACTTGCCGGGAGGCGCAGCGGGCAGAGTGCGGCGCTGCGGCACGCATGATTTGCGCGGGGCTTGCCTGTGTCAGTGGGCCAGGGGCTGCTTTGTCAGGCGGCTTGGTGTTCGGGGAAGGAAGTGATGAAGAGCATGCGTGTCTCCCGCAGTGCAGATTGATTACGACTCCATCACTCGGCCCTTGACTGGGCCACATGAACCTTGCCGGGCCGGATCGGCTTCTTGAGTCGTAAAACCGCTCAGGCCTTCAGGGGACCTGCAGTCCTTCTGCAGCGATTGTGGGATGTCCAGGGCAAGAAGAGAAGGCTGCTGTGGCCTCTCTAACGGCCTGCTTGACTTGGGATGAGGCTTTCTGAACAGCTGCCACTTCCCATATGGATGTGCCCGTCATGCAGTGCCGCTCTTCCAGGGTGCATTTGGTGGGCATGTGTGAAAGGTCCCTCGCCTTGGTGCCCCCCAGGGCAGGAAGGCCCTTCGGGGAAGGGCACTTGTCTCCCTGCCAGCAGGTAATGGCACCTTTATTGAGGCATGTGGGGCGGCTTGCTGCCGAAGGGGTTGCTTATCTGATTGGGTGCTGCCTGTTCCTGTTTATCGCTGTGTCTTTCAGTTGCGCTCTTAATGGATCTGTCTTTGTTTCCACAGAGATTGTTCCGTCTATATTTTACCTATGTTTGCAGCCTTGGGTACCATTTTTGGCAGAAAGGTGTGATAGTTGTTTGGTAATCGATAAACTCCAAAGCAGGACATGACCCCCCCCCCCCCATACACAGAGTCTACTGTCTATACAGTTCATTGGCTGACCTTAATTTTAGGGTTGTGACAGACAGGAACAATCACATCTCCAGATCATGTTTTTTTTTTTTTAATAAGTTTTAATTTTTTTCCCTAGATGCCCTCTTCCTCCTGCCACAACCATTCTGGCATCCTCTTAGACTCCTGTTTTGTTTGTTCCATGTTTTTTGTATATATTCTGCAAGCATCTATTAATATTATTTATATCCTGCTTTTTGGAAGACCATTCAAAGCTTTTTATGTAAAGCAACAGAGTGCTAATAGAAACAGAATCAGTGTACAAAATAATAGTGACAGGGAAGAGTTAAAAGCAGTGGTTGATCTTGAAGCAGCAAGTACTTAGACATTAACAGCATGTTGAAAGGAAAACGTGTTCTGTAGACACGTGCACGCAATGAGAGGGAACCCAGGAGGGCATTTTATTTTTGGTGCCGCCACTGGGAAGGGCCCTCCACACCTGCCTGGCCGGAAGCCGAGCAGCGCCGACTCTGCAGGTTTGCATAAGGGAAGGGGGTTTTGGGGCGCCCTTAGCCCTGGTCCTTGGCTGTTCAGGGCTTTAAAGGCAGGTACTTGCACCTTAACATGAGGCCTCAAACCAAAGTGTGTGTCGTGTTCAGTACTCTGGTCATTGGGTGCCAGTCAACTCTCAGGACGCCCCTGGAAAAGAGCAGAGATTCCACCCGAAAGTAACTCGGGCATGACTAACGGATGCAAAGTCTGCCGCCTTTACGAAAAAGGGGATCTGGCGAACCAGCCAATGCTGGCAAAAGGGCTCTCGCCTGGGGCCGTCACCGTCACCTGTGCTCCCAGTGGAAGCGTCTCTGCTTGCTCCTTCCGGAGGTGGCCAGCCGAACTCCCTCCCCAGTGCCATGTCTTCCAAACTAACAGTGCCAGGTCCTGGCCTGAAACGGACGCCCGTTTTTGATATACACCAAGATCTAGAAGAGACTTGACTCAGCTGACTCACACTTTCAGTATCATTTTTTTAAAAATCCCCTCCTATCAGAAACTTTCTCTTTTGAAAATACGCGGAAGCTTCTGGTCTTCAAAATCGTGTCCTTGTGTGCTTAGGGTAGTGGCTGAGTCTGTCCTGACCTCACAGTGAAGTAACTTAATTGTTAGTATAGTCTAGATCACACATCTGGCGTGCTCATCTGGACTGCAACACCCAGAATCCCCAGCGCATAGCTCTGCTGGATGGGAATTCTGGGAGTTGCAGTCCAAATGCCTCTGGAAAGCTCAGCCTACCGTTCTTGATTAGACTCTGTGGAGACTATTTATATATGAACATGTGTAAATAACTTAACTTGTGCTAGGCTTGTTTCTCCAGGCCGTTGATGACCCTTTTATTCTGTCTTTCTGCCAGTGTACCCAACGTTTACAATATATAACAGTTGCTTACAATGAATAGATTCGATATAAATGGCAAAAGGATCGTGGAGGGCAGAGGAAAGGCAGCAAATTCAGCTTCCCGTTCCTGCAGCCTAGGCCACTGCAAGAGTTGTAGCCCTGGATACCTAACGGGGCATCTTCTTCCATGTTAACCTGCCGGCATTCTTGGATCATCACTGGAGCACTTCTCCAGAGGACCTTCACCTTAGAAATGAGGCATGCGGTGACTGAGAAAGGACGTCCCGTCTGGCCGCCCACCCCTGGAATGGCCTTTCTAGGCAGGGAGGCTTTGGTGTCGGGGAAAGATCTGTTTATTCTTGCAGTCATTTTGAAGCTTTAGTGGTGCTGCTCTGCTGTGGCTTCATAATGTGCACCGCTGCTCTCTTCCCGTGGTCTTAGCCGTGGGTTTCTGGCTTGCAGTGATTTAAATTGTTTTACCTGTTCCCAGGCACACCAGGGAGCAGTAATGCTCAAGCAGAGCCTGCACAGCTTGGAAACAAATAAGTACCATGCAGATTAAGCTTTCTCAGATTCGATGGTAAATCATTTCTAAGGGTTATACATAATTGGGAGATGATTGCGCAGCATGTCCTTTTGTCATATAGGCTCTTGCGGATTATCTTTACTTGGGCCCAGGTTTTGGCACTGCACAAGGCAGAAGAACACTGCTCTTCTAGCTTCCTTTTTCTGGTGGGAGGAAGATTTAGCAATGGAATAGAGACCAGGGAGGAAAGATGTGGCTCTGGGACATATGAATCAGCCTTTTGGAGAGGCTTTTGATTTAACTCATCCATGTGACAGTGGTGAGTGCAGAGATAAAACCAGGGAGGAAGTGCTCTGAAGCTGGCATTTAAAAGTTAGTCAGCTGTGCTTGGCTTCATGGTTCCCACTCCCCCACCTACCCTGACTTTGAAATGGTCTTAATAAACCATTAATAGCAGAAAACAGACAGAGGGAATATCTGCTGCTGGAAAGAATTGTTTAAAGGCTAGGAACAGCTGAGTTTCTCCATTGATGGAATGCGCATTTCATGGCCCAGTTTCATTAGCTCTCAGGTCACAAATGCTTCCTTCCCAGCAAAGGTAGCAGAATATCTTCATAATGCCAGATCTTATGTACATAGTGTCTTCAGTGAAAGCAGCCCAGGGTTCATAATCTGCCATGAGTCCCTACCTCCCACAGTCCCCGGAGCTGGTAAGAGCGGGATACAGGTGGCAGAGGGTGGAAGGAACAGCAGGAAAGGCACTGCTAAGAAAGCGGGTGGCTTAAACTTGGGCTTCCCTCCAGTTCAAGAGGCGAGTCCAGCGTCTTCCTGGAAAAAGTGGGTTTTGTGGTAGTAGATGCCTTCTAGGCAGGAGACAGCAACCCATGCCGGAAGGAGCAGCTGCTACTGTTTCAGGTGGTGATTCCTGGAGTTGCTACAGAAGATGGATTGTGGCGGAAGAGCTGCAGCTCTTCTTTCCCCTCTGATACACCGTGCCCTCTTGCACCACCAGGTGTTCTCAATGCGTTGATTATTACACTTATTGTCATAGTTATATCCCATCCTTTTCCTCTGCAGAGAACTGTGGGCAATTTATATGACCCGTCTCCTCACCCCACCCCTATTTTATCTGCAGTCATCCTGTGAGAGTCTGTGAGTGGCCACATCTGAGCAGATTCTGCTTCATTTTTAAAAAACCTAACCTTGGTCTACTGTAAACAATCAAACTGCTAGATGGTAATGTTAAAACTATAGCCCTCTTTTAAGAATAGTGCACTGCTGAGACATCTCTCTAGAAGACTGAGCCCCGAAAACACGTCTTTTTCTTCCTCTTCTCCATTTTAGATCTCTCTAAGAACAGATTTGCTGAAATTCCTCCTGATGTGTGGCAGTTTGCACCACTTGAGACATTGAATTTGTATCACAACTGCATCAAGTCAATCCCTGAAGCAATTAGAAATCTGCAGATGTTAACATATCTCAATATCAGGTAGGTATTCTCTACCTACCATTCTCTACCTGTATTCTCTACCAACAATATAATTGCTGGCATTAAAGGTACATTTCTAGGTCATCAGAGCTTCCCCATCTGTCTGTGGGGGAGAGTTGGCTGGAGAAACCCATTTCCAGTCTGTAAATCCCAGAGGCTGCCAAAAGGTGAAATTGCAAAGATGTCTAATGTTGTCCCTGGTATTCCATTTTCAGATTATGATCTTTGAAAGGTAAAGGGTTGAAATTAACTCAGCTTCAGCTTCTAGGAATTAAGCGAATACTGGAAGCGTTGCTAATCTTGCATGCCTGCAGGAAGATGGCTGAATCAGCTGCACCATCGGAGGAATGATGTTTTCTGGAAAAGCGGGAGCTGGGCGTGCTACGTGTTGTGTCTGCTACCTTTGGTGTACACCATCTTTGGCTTGGAGTAGAGGCTGGGCAACGTTGCACAAGATGCTTTTCCTGTGTGGGAGAAACAAGCAAGTGTGCTGTGTGAATAGTGTATGAGAGCTGCTCTTGGCATGTGCATATGGAGAGCAAAATGCACATGAGATAGTCATGTAAGATGCAGTGGCTTTTCTCCGCCTCCTCCAGAGAATGCTACTGCAGTGGGGAGGCATTCTCTGTGAACTGACTCTCTGGTGTTGTGCAGCTTGCATCCACTTGGCCTGATAGTCCCTTCATAACTTGCTTTTGTAAATGGATGGAACTAAGTTACCTGTATCTGTGAATGCCTTTCCACTGGTGCTTAGAGTTTATAACCCTATTTGCGTCCCTGAGAAAGAGGCTCTCCTGACCATTCTTCAGGACCAGCTGTTTACATTGGTTGAATCTTGAGAAAGTAGGGATGGCAGTGGAGGAACTTGTGACCTTGTTCCTGGTGACCTTGTTCTGCAGCTCGCAGAAACACACCCTTAAAACAGGAGAAGGCTGCAGGAGGAGGGATGCAATGGTGACGAATGAGCAGAAGAAGAGGAGAAAGGGAGGAGACGGCATATGAGGGGAGGCTACAAGAGGCCACAACCGTCCTCCGCTCCGTAAAGAAAGGATCCGGGGACAACAAACACCTGTCCATCTCCTTTATTTTCTTTATTTATTATTTTGATTTGCATGCTGCCACAGTAGCCCACGTATGGCTCTCTCTGCAGCTCAGAAGGCAGGACATGGAAGGCCAGATTTAAATGATAAAGATCTTAATTTGGGACTAATATTAGGAAAGGCTTCCTAATGCCCCAGATTAGCCCAATAACGAATCAGACTCTCCAGAGAGCTGATGAAATCCCTGCTGGATGATTTTGTGGCAAGATCAAGAAGCAACTTTCTGGCAGGCTTTTGGGTGCTTAAGGGATTGGCTGTCTGGGTCCTTTGAACACCTGCATCTCAGGATGTCTGGTAGAATAATGAAAACTGGCATTGCAGTCTCTTGTCAGGTTCATTTGTCTCCGCCTGATGGTGGGTACTGTGCAGCTTTTGAAAACCTCAGTGGTTTCACAGCTTCTCTTAAAATTCTCTCCGCCCCTTCACAAAGCACCTGTTCTGTTTAATTAAATAAAACAAACATTTTTATATCTAAGTCATGATGCCATACTGTTAGGCATTCAGATTCTGGTTGTCAGCAGATACTGTCTGGTTTTGTAAAAGTTGCTGTTATGTGCCTAGTGAACCAAAAAGGGAATATGTGAAGAAGATAGTTCTGCACTGAGATATCCTTGTCAGATCTCTCCCATGCACACACGTACACAAACACACTCCCCAATTCAGGTCAGGCAGTGAAATAAAATTGCAGTCCGTAATGTGATTCCGCACTTAAAAATATATGTACATGATGGAAACTGTATGTGAGCCGTAAGAGACGATAGCCTGTAATCCAAGAACTTCTTCAATGGAATTTGCCCTGTGCTAACAGCACAGTCAGTTCAGGTAAGCACAAGGTGGTTTCAGCGACTTGTATGTTTCAAAATGTGCGTAGTAACAGCTGTCTCATATTAAGTCACTCAATTTCTCCTTCTCTCTAGTCGAAATCTTTTATCAACCTTGCCAAAATACCTTTTTGATCTGCCTCTTAAAGTTCTGGTTGTCAGCAATAATAAACTTGTGTCCATTCCTGAAGAAATTGGAAAGCTGAGAGACTTAATGGAGTTGGTGAGTACGATTGCGGAATTCCTCTCTTTGCGGCAAAGTCTTTAGCCCCTCTGCGTGCCTCACCTTCTGCCTGTAGCAAGACCAGCTGTAACCAACGGAAAGCTGTCCCGATTGGCCCCTTCCTGGTGAAGCATCCTGTGGCAGGAAGGGGCCAGGCGTACCAGCTCTACCCATCGCCTCCAGAGGGGCACATCATGGTGCCCGCCGTGCACCTGCCTCCTGCACTGGATCACAGTGCTTGGTCAAAGGCCTTCCGTGCCCTTACGCTGCCCCCTCTCTGCTCGTGACCCCTCACCGAGATTTGCTGTGGCTGCTTCGCGCAGTCGGCCCCATCCTGTTTAGAGAGCCACAGCCTTTGCACCGTCTGACAGCAGCTCTGAGGGGCGGAGTGGGGTGCTTATGCCCCGGTGGCCGAGATAACCGCACTTGGTGGGCGGAAGCTGGGCGAGAGAGCACAGCCGGTGAAGACTCCAGCTGGGAACAAGAGGGCTGGCCTGCCCCACCAAGCAGCTGTAGCTGCTTCCTCGTGGAAGCAGAGGAGGAGGGGGACAGGAAAGAGCTGGGTGGGGGGAGCAGTGAGTTCGCTGCTGGTGGAGAGGAGGGGGAGGCTGGGCAGGAGGGTGTGTCTTCTCCGCAATGTGTGTCCCGCTGTGGCAGAGAACTAGCCCTGACAGAGCAGCTTTGCTCCACTCCTGCCTTGAATGCAGCTTCTGTTTGGTGAATGCCCCCCCTCGCCCACCCATCACCCTTCTGCAAGAGGGTGGAAATCCCTGCGGTTTGTGTGACCGGTGAGGTCCCCCAGGTACAGGATACAGTGGCTGGAAAACAGGTGGATTAACTGATTTCATTTGTGCCCTACCAAGAAAAGTGACGCTCCAGTTGAAGGACGCCAGATCAAGGAACAGTGTATTTCCTTTACTATCAGTCATGATTGTCTCTGTATTTTATTATTTAAAAACTTTTAAAAATATTTTTAATCATTATAATCCCTCTAAATTTCACTGCAGTTTTTAGTCTGACTTTATCCTGTAATTTTAAACCTGTATATTTTATTTAACTTTCTTGTATTTTCTGGTTTTAATTGATCCAAATCCCCAGGCAGCCCTGGTGGTTTGGTAGTATAGAAATGTAATAAATAAGTAAGCAGTCCTTTCACACAGAAACTCCCTCCTGGATATCCCCCAAGCTTTCTGTTTCAGCAGCCTAATTTAGCAGGGGAAGGCCTGCCTTTTCGTTGCTGTGATTAAGCAGCAGGAACTGGGGAATGTGTGCATTCCATCTCCATCTACTGTTTGAATAGGGCCATCCTGGGTATTTATTAGTTGAGCGTAAGTTACAAGCCTTCGATTCATTTGTTCATTATTTAAAAATATGTATTGTTTCGGTTTATCATTTAATGTAACTCCCTTGAGATTAGAACAAAGTCTGCCTATTTTGTAAATCTAATGCTAGATGGGCCCTGCGGCTTTCTTCTGCAGTTGGAGTTAGTCATAACTCTTGTACACATACTCCAGCCTTTCCTTTAAAATGCATCAGTGGATTTTAGGCACTTTATGCATCGCAAGGAAATTTCCCTCCTCCAAGGGTCAGAATATTTCTCATTTGATCGATCACATCTCTTTCAAAAGAGAGGATTCCTCTGAACCTCACATTCCCTGGCGGTGATGTACTAATGGTCCTGCCATAGGCTAGGATGCTGCCTCCCGCCGGGTTATAGGCAAGGGTGTGGCCGTCTTGCTGAGCCTTGCGTTGGAAGGGCAGGCAGTCCGCATTTGCAGACTTCGGCCCTCCTTCTCCCATAGCTGCCCCGTAAAAACTTGGCCTTTGGATTCCTTGTCTCTTAACACAGGATGTGAGCTGCAATGAGATCCAGGTCCTTCCCCAGCAAATAGGAAAGCTACAGTCCCTAAAAGAATTAAATTTAAGAAGGAATAATCTCCATATGCTTCCTGATGGTGAGTCGCCCCCCCCCCCGCAACTTCTCACCTCCTCCCTGATCCATTTAAACAAGGTCACTCTTTGATGTTTGGACCTGATTTTGTTCTTTCTTACCATGGACAGAACTGGGTGATCTTCCATTGGTCAAGCTGGACTTCTCTTGTAATAAAGTCACAGAGATACCCATCTGTTATCGGAAACTGCGTCAGTTGCAAGTAATAATTTTGGACAACAATCCAATGCAGATGCCGCCAGCACAGGTTTGATAAAATTCTTCCATTTTCTTCCACTTGGAGGTCAGGAGGGGTTTCCATTCATTCTCTCAGCTGCCCGTGTGCTTAGGACGCAGGCTGTTTTTGACCGCAATCCACTTAGGAAAGCAGCTTTTCTGTTCCGTTACTTCTCAGAGTTGTCTTAATGTGCCGGCTGGAAGCAGGGCACATCTCTGTCACATGAGTATGGTTGGCTGCGGATACTCTGTGGTGCACTAGACTCTTTCAGAGAGTGAAGACGTGGAGAAAATGAGCACAAAGACCAGCCGCCACGGCTGTTTAATGTTTTCACCAAACATCGGGCCAGGCTTGGCAGACGTGGCTTTGAAGTCCCGCATGGTGATGGCGCTCATGGGGTGACTTGGGGCCCGTCTCTGGCCCTCAGCCTGACATGCCCCACTGAAATGTTGTTGTGCGGATACAGAGGAGGAGGATTGGGTAACCTGGCTTGGGTTCTTTCCTTGCAGGAAAACGGGCAGAATTTACGTACAATAGATAAATGCCGCTGGCATTGAAGCTGGTGATTATGTGGGGACCTGTGCAGCCTCCAGTTTCTTCATGCAGCGGGGCAGCCTAAGCAGTGCTGGCATGCATTTTGCAAGACTTGCAGCTGCTGTATACATTGCACCTGGCAGAGGCTGGTGAAAACAGCTGGAAATGACTCCAAAAGGTTTCTGTCTAAACCTGTTTTTCCCTTCTGCTTTTTACCAGATATGTCTAAAAGGCAAAGTGCACATATTTAAATTCCTCAGCATCCAAGCATGCCTCAGAATGGATAAAAAGCCAGATTCCTTGGATCTGCCATCGCTGGGCAAAAGAATCCCTTCCCAGCCACTCACCGACAGGTAAAGTTGCCATCGCTTTTCCAGATGTGTAAAATGTAATTTGGAAATGTTAAGTTCTAATTTGAGTTCCACATTTTTGTAATAATTTGAGCACTGATAGGTCCTCCTAAGTACCGTACTTGCATGGTCCTTTCGTGCCAGTAGGACTTCCACTTGCAGTCAGTTTGTTCCCTCAGTCTAGGCATAATACCAATTATGTGCTCAGTTAAAACATTCTGTCTTGTGAGGGATCCTCTCCGGTCTACCGGCCTTTTAAATGCCTCTTCGCCTCCCTTCCCATGCCAATTGCTCTTCTACTTGCTTCATTCCCCCATTTAATGGCTGCAGCTAATCATGAAGGCGGAGCCAGTTTGAGTGTTCTCCTCAGCTGGCTTGGAGGAGATTAGAAACGTTTGTTTTAGTTTGAAGTAAACACAGTTTGTTGTTGCATCCAAACCCATTCAGTTTGTTCTGTTAAACCATAGTTTATTGAAGAAAACCCAGGTAAGAAACTAGGTCAGTCCAGTCTTCTTGCAACTGGAAAAAGGGGGTGTTTGGCAGGCATGTATTTGTGATGCTAAGCCTGTTTAGCATTACCCCCAAACCGAGCCAGTGAATGATTCCTTGTTCGAAACAGCCTACTCATTTAATAGTTTAACTCTGCTACTTCTTTCACATCCACATGGGTCAGTATATAATACTAAAGTTACCTGTTTCTACTTAAATGCAACTCAGGATGGAAGAACCATTGAGCTTTCCAACTTTATCCAGAGGTGGAAAATTTTTCCAACTTCATTTCAAAATTCAGTTCAACTCATTCCTCTTGCTGTTTGGCGCATGTTTTTCTGTTATTTGAATGGGAGAAGCATTGATTTTTAATGGGCAAACTACTGATTTCTGTGTGTCTTAAGTGCTCACCTCTCCCCATTTTTTAACACATATCTTTCAAAGTGTACAATTAAAAAGACACATTTTTAATATGATAACCTACTCAGGAAAGTATGAACTTTTCCCCAGGAAAAACATTTGCATTCAACAGAGCATGTTTGGTTGATTTGTGAACTGAAGCAAAATTCTTGCACATCCTTAAGTATAACTAGAACAGTTTTGCTCAAAAGCAAGTCTGTAACCTACTGCTAAAATAATTTCATTATTGTATTCTGGGACAGAACCCCCCCCCCCAACACACACACACACACACACACACACACACACACACCACACACAGACGGACATACAGTAGTCCCCTACGTGAAATTTGTGGGGGTTGCGTTCCTAGAGCACCCACGAATTGTGAAAACAGCAAATTTGGTGCCGTTGATGGACTCCGGCCACCAAGGTGGTGCGGGCGGGGGGTGTGGGACAGACTGGGGGACGGGTGTGCACGCATGGCGAGGCAGGGGCAGGGGCTGGCCCGCGCAGAGAGCGTTTTCTCTGAGTGAGTCCAAACCGATCTCCTTGTGAGCAAGCCACCGCACGGAAAATTCCGCGAAAGACTGAGGCCACGAACACTCAACTGCAACTTCACAGGGGTATACTGCATCCTACCACAGTTACTGTCATATTAAGAGTAGTACTTCCTATCTTAATATGGAGATTTCCGGACAGCTTCTCACAAGATTGTTTGTTGTTAATAATAAATTTAAAATGTTTATCTGATGTTCTGCATTTGAACTTCTTTCCTGGCTCATGAAATTCTGATCATTATGGCTGAAACAGTCCAGAGTTAACAAAACAAACCTGTGTTGGTGATAATTCTGGTGCTTAATTTTAGAAATTAAAGTTAAGCTGGAAGGCAGACCAAGCAGAATGTGAGGAAAAGCAAGCACAAACCACAAAAACTTAAGTGCAGGATGCAGAACATAAATTGTGCCCGAGAGGAGGGAAACAAGCATGGGCTGGTATCGTAAACTCTTCTTTCAAGTATCCTCAAAGGGCAGCCAGGAAACAGCCAGGCCCCTGCCTTGAGAGGCATAGATCACCTCCAAGAAGCGGGTCTGCCTGTTTCTTCCTTTCCCGGCCAACACACGGACGGCTCACTATCGGCTGCCCTGCTCATTTGTGGGGCTGACCGCTCTTAAAAGCTGTGGTGAGTCTGGGAAGTTCTAAAGGCTGTTCTCAGGCGCCAGTGGCAACTGGGCAGCATTGTTAAACAGGCCAAATGTGGAGGCTAGGTGATGTATTTCTTCTTGACTCAGCCCGGGTATCCCCTGTCAAGCAAACGTCCTGCGCACATTCCTGCTGAGCCATCTTCCTGATAGGGAATGGGGGAATGTCTGTCCAGTTGTTTTCTGAGTGTGGTATTACGCATAAGGTACGCAGACAAGGTATAGCAGTTCACCCCAAAAACATGCTTTTGAAAAAGCACTGGGATCTGAAGGCTCACCATGGAAAGAGAAACAGAGGCATGGTCCTCTGCGCCGACTAGTGCAGCCACGTGCTAACTTGAGACGTGTTACGGGAACATCAGGTGTGACTGCCTGTCTCTTCTCTGTGTTGCGTGCTTGTCTGGGGGCATCTTTATGGGAGTCCCCTGTTAAGCGCTCAACACCTCTGCAAATAATGCATCTTCAAAGGGAGTGTCTTGCTGTGTAGGGCATTCAGATGCCTGGATCTGCCCAGCAGGATTGGTCACAATAAGGTTTTCTTCATTGCAGTATGGAAGATTTTTATCCCAATAAAAACCACGGCCCAGACTCTGGCATTGGCAGTGATAATGGGGATAAAAGATTATCCACAACTGAAGTAAGTCTGCCCTTTTTCAATTGCTGAACAGGAAGGAGGTAGGAGAGGTGCATGGCTTTTCTTGCTCTTTTTTGGTGCAGGTTGCTTTCCTTCTGTTTTGGGTTCCTTGAGTCACCTGGGAAATCGTAGTTTAGCCATCAAATATATTTTAAAAACTGCTTTAAAGTACAGTAAAACAGTTTAGCCTGCTTTGCTGTATTGTTTACCCTTAACAGCATTCCGGAGCATTGCTCTTGCTGCCGTTCTTCATTCAACCAGAATAACAATCCATCTGCTAGGTAACTTGACATTAAATCCATATCTTGTGAACGTGTTACTGCTAAAATCAAATCACTGTGAAGTATCGCTTTTTGTGTGCTAGGCAAGCAGAACTAGCAGATTTTGCAGGATTTCTGTGTCCACTTTTGTCACTAGGTCCTTACAGATTACGTGAGCTGTTTAATTCATCTCTTGGGTGATTCAGGAAATGTATAGTTTATGCTTTCCTTTCTCAGTGTGAGGCACAAGCCCCACATACTGGTTTGTTGCAGCCCAAACCATACTTGGCCTGGCTTGGTTGCGGATACTCAAGAAGCTTGTTTTATGATACAAGGTTTAATAGAAGAACGTGGAAATGGCAGGTTATACTCTTAACTGCTTTTTCCAGCCTTCCGATGATGACACAATCAGCCTTCACTCTCAGGTATCTGAATCAACAAGGGAGCAGACACTCAGAAACGACAATCAGTTGCTCACGAACAAGCATGAGTTGCATAAAGGTAAATCTTAATCTCTGGCTCCTTTAGTGCTAAGGACAAACCGTGACTAATCCAAAAACGGAAGCGAATGCTCCCAATCCCCCTGAGGCTGTGACAGAGGAATGTGGCAGCCCCACTTGTCCCCGGTGCTGAATTATGGGTTAGCATTTTCTGAATGGTGACCAGTCATCAATATTTATTTTATTTATTTATTTAAAACTTTTATATCCCGTCCTCTATGCGTGGCATCTCAGGACGGCTTACAAACATTAAAATCAAAAATGAATAAACAACTGATACAAATATAGCACAATATACAGGCAATAAAAATAAATTAAGTCAAGAGCGACTGATTATTAAAATACTAATTTTTAAAATAACGCTTAAATAAAAAGGTTTTGACCTGGCGCCGAAAGAATACCGGCTCGGCGCCAGGCAAACCTCTGGGGAGCACATTCTACAATCTGGGTGCCACCACAGAGAAGGCCCTCCTCCGGGTAGATGTCCTTTTTACCTCCCTCAGGGAGGGTTCCCGGAACCTCATATATACCTTACTATACCCTTCTGCATGTCCATTGGTTGGGGTGGTTAAAGGAAAAGAGGGCTATTGTGCATGCTGTCTCTGGGTTGGCTGTTGTGGGAGCATGAGTAAAATGAGGAGAGGCTTCCCAAGAGCCTTGGGCCTGGATGTGTTTGTAAACATAATGGAAAACCTGTCCCTTCCTCTCTGCTGTTCCCCACTGACAACTAGACCCAGAGGTGTGTGATTACCTTGATCCCTGCTCAGAGGATGTGGCTTCATGTGACCAAGGAGATGTACAAACTGGGCCATCAGTTTCGTACCGGAAGGTAGTGATGTGTTAAAGTATATTACATATCTCCGCAATCCCACCTTTCCAGTGGAAAGGCTTGGCCATGTGACCCATGTGCTCTCTTCCCCCTCTGTATTCTTGATGCATAAGGAACGAGGGAAGCAGACTGAGAAGTCTCAGAAAAGAGAGCGACGTGAAGACTGGGCGGAGGAGGAGAGGTGGGTGCTGTGGCAGCACGAGCCGGAGGCTCTGGCATGGGAAGTGGGAGGAGGGTCCCATCGTTTCCTCCCAGCCGTTGGGGTTTCCCCTCGCTTGCGTGTCCCTCAGACAACATAGAAATATTTGCACTACTGATCTAGGGCCCAGAAAGATCAGGTATTGGCAGAAGAGGATGATGAACTGAAGGAAGTCACTGACCTAAGAAAAATCGCTGCTCAGCTGCTGCAGCAAGAACAGAAGAGCAGGTATTTAGCCCACGGATCACGGCAGTCGGTGAATTTCTGGGCGTGTGATAATGTGATAGTAAATGACTCTGAAACGTGCCCAGGATGCAGACAGGTGGGATTTGGCATTGGTAAATGTGTGCAAGCTCCCATACTTCTTTGTCTCTGACCACGAAATGCGGTTTGCCCACTTTAAAAGGGGTAAGTGCCAAACTGGGGTTGACTGAAAGGGAGGAAGCTGGCAGTTTGGTGCAGAATCAGCCACCCTTTCAATATAGATTGGTGTTTTCTAGTCGGGATAAGAGTTAGCATTTGGGAGGGTGCCATCCTGGTTTGGAAAGTGCCCTTTAAAAGCCTGATTACCCAGAATCCTCTGGTTCTTGCCTTTTCAAAAAAGCGGGCTCCCCGACCTTTGCACATTGTCTTTTTAACCCTTTTGAAGCTGTCCTCTTACAACATTCTGCTTATTATACTAATGACTTCACTGTCCTTTCCTGTCAACCTTTCCTGCTTCCTACCTCCATATTTGGGTTTTGATGTACATGACATGCGAATTCAGACGGAGGCCATTAAGCTATAGAACTTCATTCAGTGAAAAGCTTTTCCAGAGGACAAAGGTCGCAGGACGTGCATCCAGGTATTTAGTGTTTACGGTGCATGAATTTCACATGACAGTGTGATGGACAGAAATGGGTGTCTTGCACAGTTTCGCCCTGCTGAAGAAGAAGCATTCCAGGGGAGGGAAGGAAAGAAAGTGTACCAAAACTGGGAGAAGCTATGGAGTAGGACAGGTTATCCTGCGCGCTCTGCTGGTTATCTCATTTCTTTTTATCTAAAGTTTGTATATGCCACCCTTAATCAGAAAAGATTCCAGGGCTGTTCCCAGTGATACAACAATTTTAAAAATATCTATTCACAACATATATTGGCTCTTAGCTGCAACCAAGGTGAGAATTAAATTCCTTCTTAATGTTCTTGGAAGCAGCATTCCAAGCATTTCAGAATTTTAATAGCATAAACATATGTACTGGTGAAGATGGAGATTTCATGTAAAGGAACCAGTTCTTCAGGCAGTCTTTGATGAAGATGTAGAGCCCTCATGCAGACACCGGTATGGAAACAAACTTTCGGTAGCGGGAACCGCCGTGCCTCCCCGCAGCCGCCTCAGTAGGGCAGCTTACAGTTCAGAAAGCATTTTGTTGGGGGGCAAATGCTGCGAGCTTGCTACTCCTCATTCTCCTCTTTTTCCGTCACTTTCCTGCTCTGTATCTTCCTTCCTCACTGCCCTGTCCCATCCACTTCCCATATTTTCTGTGTCTACTCCCTCTTTTGTCCTCTGACCGAACTGAAAACTTTGCAGGGACTTGTGCCTGCCACCTCCTTTGGCCACCTCACTCCAGAGCAATGAGGCCCCTCATTGGGCAGATGCAGTAGGTGTGCTGCACATTTCCCTGAGACTCTTAGTATAGAGGTAGAGCAGGAATCAGGCGTGGAAGACTGCAGAATCGTTGCTTGCAGTCTCATGAAAATAAGACCAGCAACTGAACACGTGCGGCTGAACTGGGCCATTTCAGCATGCACTGTGTGACCTCAAGCACCTGTCTTTGCACTTGGTTTTAGACTTCTTAATCACTCCGCCTCGACGAGCACAAGAAACAGACCGAAACAGACCACTGATTCGGAAAAAAGGTACTGTGGTTTCTTTGGTGCTCAAACTGCTTTGATGAACCCTATCATGTTATCGCCTGGGCGAGTGGGTTGAGCAATAAAAGCTGCCTGGCAAATAAATGGCTTTTTCTCGGAAGCTCCAGTTAGCAGAAACGCACTGTCAAGTACACCTTTGCGCCAGGGCCCCTTGATAATGGCCGTGCTCGGGATTGTTTCAGGATGAAAACGTGTTGCAGGAGGAGGAGGTGCCACAAACGGTTGTTGGACACGGGCCTTCGAGCTTTGGCAGTCCTCTGTAGAGAGCACATTGAGCAGCTGCCTTATGCTCACGCAGTCTGTCCATCGGTCTAGGCAGTATTGCCGGCTCAGGCTGGCAGTGGCTTCAGTATTGCCAGCTCGGGCTGGCAGTGGCTTCAGTATTGCCAGCTCGGGCTGGCAGTGGCTCTCCTGGGTTCTGGGCAGGGATGATTCTTCCCTAGCCGAGGTGCGATCGGCCTTTGCATGCCGCGCAGATGTTTTCCCGCAGTGCCAAGGCCTCCCACGCTGTTGGATAATGGCCTGGTGCCGTTGTTCGCAGTCAGTGCTAGCGGCCTTCTGGCTTCGCTTGCATGAGAGCAGGTAGCTAAACAGCCTTGTTCTACCTCTGAGCACAATTAGTCTCGCTGTTACCTTTGCGGAGGTTTTTAGCAGAGCTGATTCTTCAGTAAAATTAACACTTCTGTGGTGTGCCAAGAACGCACTTCCTGGAATTTAGATGTCCAAGTGACAAATAATTACATGAAAATTCTGTATAACCCTGCCGGTGGTTATTCCACCGGGAGTCTATTACCTGAATTCCGTAATATAGGCTCTAGCTGACTGCCGTTGGTAATAAAAATGTAACGATTGCTTTGCTGCAGCCTGTGGGGCAGAGCCCTTGGCCCCGGGCTTCAGGCATACCTCAGCCTAATTTAAAAGTCCCTGTTACAAATGCTCAGCTCATACTTTTGTCTCACAGCAGCCCTCTGCACAGGGAGCGGGGAGGGACTGGCAACAGAGGGAACAGCGGGGCCCTCCCTGCTGCCAGGAGGTCCCTGTCAGATTTTATTCCACAGGACGTGACCCCTGAAAAGAAAAGGACCGGGCATAAATGGCAAGACATGCGTGATTTATTCCTTCAGGACAATTGCAGGCAACATCTCTGAGGGAGGTCATTCACCCCAGTTCAAGTTGTGTGGATCCTGTTCTTTCCCCCCGCTTTACTTCTTTAAATCCTTCTTGTTACGAAGAATGTTTGGGCTATGTTCTGTGTGCCTGCCTCTTGGCTGCAGATTCTCTGAGAAAGATGGAACGATGCCGTTTAATGAACATTGTATGTTTTCAAACAGCCTTTCAGCTGATGAAGCCGGCTCCCCGTCGTCCCTCTACACCTGGCAGGTAAGGCAGAGTAGCTAGCTTTGCACGGACCTCTCCGGGCAGCTTGAGCATTCCCGGCTGGCAGGCAGCGGTTTTGTCTCCGTCATGAACCTGCTTGCTGCAGGTGCCAGGTGGAAGGGAGCATTGATGTAATGTTGCATCACGGACATCCTTCCAGCCCACCTTCCTGTTACTCTGCTGTGACAGCAGATGCACTGCCCTGTTCTCCAAAGGCGCTCGGCTGTGGGACTCCCTTGGGACTCCGGCAGCAGCGATGGATTCCATCACCTGTGGACTCTGGGCCGGGCCTCCGCGGCTCCAGACTTACCTGTGGGCCAGGTGTGGAGAACACCCCCCCCCCCCACCGTCCCTTGGCATTTGGGCAGTGTGGTCATTCATCCTGTCCCCAGTGTTGGGCACCACCCGTTAGAAGCTGCAGAGAGTCGCCGCTAGTGGATTTTGAGTCCCGTGCCACCAGGGGATTGATAACATGCAGCCATCTCCCTGTGGCTCCCAAATTGGGTCAGGCAGTTCAAGTCCTGAATCAACGCCTAGACTCCGGGATGAGTAGACTGAAGCCGAGTCCTGGCAAGATGAAATCCCCATGCGTGGGCGGCTTCAGAGTCTGGGAGATGGGCTCATTGCCCGTTCCGGATACATCTTATTTATTTATTTGTAAGCCGCCCTGAGGCTTCGGCGAATGGGGCGGCCTAGACATTTTCTAAATAAATAAAACAATAAATAAATCTGTCCTTCTGAAGCCTTGAGCGTGTCGACCGGAGGTACTCTTCACTCCGTCGCAATCACCGGAGTCCCAGGGCACTGCACAGTGCAGTGGGGGCCGCCCTCTGGTGCTGGCGCCGGAGCTGGACTGTTGCCACAAGCTGCCCCTCCTCAGCAGGCAGCTCCTTTGCTAGGGGAACTGCACAGGCTGCCTCTCTGCTGCCAGGCTAGGCCTCAGTGCTTGCGACTTGCGTATGAAGTCCAAAGTGGATCGGGACCAGGATCCTCAAGACCTTCCCCTCCCCCAACCTGCTCAGTCCCAGAGGGACTGAATGCTGTGTTCCCAGCTGTGCGGGTAGACAGACCGGCAGCCTGCAGTCTTCCTGGAGAAGAGCGTTGGTGCGGCGGCTTCCTTTTTGCAGGACGCTCTGTCTGGAGATCAGAAGGCACCCGCCCTGCACCCTTTTTGGTCTCTCCTGAAAACGTTGTTACGTCAGGAAGCCTTCCTTGGGTGACTGGCCGGTTTTGTTGCTGTCCCGTTGCTGCCATGCTTTTTCAGTCCATTGCCCTGTTTTTAAATTGTGCAATGCTGCAGCGAGTAAACCTTGTAAGGAGCGAGTAAACCTTGTAAGGAGCGAGTAAACCTTGTAAGCTGACCTCTTTCTTCCCATAGTCCATGGACAACCCGAAGGACCATCAAGACGACCCACCCTGGCCAGACCTGCAGCCGGTTATTTGGCAGAGCGAGGATAGGAGGCGGAGCAGTAAGCAGATGAAAAGAGAGTATTTCAAGGTATGGCTGCTGCTGGTGGGTTTGACGCTTGATCGAAATTCTGGCTCATCCAATACAATAAGGATTTCCTCATTTTTCCATAAAGCAGCCAGTTGAGGTACAAGGTTAAATGTCAGCAAATCTTGTTTGTTGTAAACCGTCCTGGGGCACCAGTATTAGGGACGGTGTATAAACGCTTTAAATGCACGAATGAATAAATAATCCAAAGGGGGGTGCCCAGGCTGCTCGAGAATGGCATCTCAGTGAATTGGTCAGTGTTTCCACCAGACATTTCAGCTGATTTTGACACATGCAGCGCTCTGAAATGCTGGCTTAGAAAGTCTACCTGGTACTGTTCGTGTGCTAAGCTGAGGAAGTCTTTCAGATATGGGGTTTCTCTTTGACTTGATCATTTATTTATTTAAAACATTTCTATGCCGCCCCATTCGCCGAAGCCTCGGGGCGGCTCACAACATAAAATATAATACATTCAAAATATAAAACAAATCAGCAATATAAAATAAGTCGCCCTGATCATGTTTAACTTCAGCCTAAATGGGAAAGTTAGAGCTTGCCCCGAGGGAGCACCAGCTGCTTGCTTTCGGAGTCCGCAAGAATTTCTTTGCTGGATGTAATTGCGGTGTCTGTGCTAAGCTTCAGATTGAACCTGAAGAAGAAAAGGTCTTGCATTACAGGAGTGCTGTCACCAGCTGTTTCACTCAAGAGACTCACATCTGCCAGGAGGATGTAGGTCAAGAGTGAGGAATCTTGTGCATTCCAACGCAGATGCTGTTCGAGGCAGAGCAGCTAGCAGTGCCGGGGTTCAGGCTGGGCTCAGTCCCTTTTTCGCCTGTGTAGGATCGCAGCCTTGTGGCATGCCTCCTCCCGCCCTCTGGTTTCTGTGAGGAACTTCTTTAAAGAAGAGCAGCATCCACGCGTCTGTGTTCACACTGCAGTGCGATGGAATCTGCCCAAGCGCAGATTTGTCACCTCAGTGAGAGCTCAACCGCACACGCCTAGCTGCCCAGTTCACATCTTGCAGCACTGAAGCGAAGCCTCCCGTGGCGGCAGGTTTGCTGCCGTATCATGTCCACAGGATGGCAGCTCTGTGCGTTTGTCGGTGAGCGACAGAGTGGCAAGCGGAGAAGCTTGGCCCCGGCAGCGGCCCTCAAAGCCAGACACAACCTGCGCATCGCTCTGCGGAAACGCAGTGCTGTGAAAGCATTGCAAGCAAAAACTGCTTCGCATCCCAGCAAAAACCTTTTCCTGAGCTCCTTGTGTCTCGTTCTCCTTGGTCCCCTTCGCGCTCGGTCAGCTTTTCAGGTTCATTCCATGCTTGGATGGTTGTAGGAGTTGTCATTCCCCGGGAATGTTGGGCAGGTCCTTTGGAAGGACCTGCAGAGCTTTGTAAGAGAATGCACGCATCTTCACCATGGTGCCAACTCATGAAAAACTGTTTCCTCTCCAGTACAAGTCTTCTCGGAAGAGCTCGAGTGGAAATGAAAATGATGAGGTGAGTTAGGATTTTAAGAGGAAGTCAGTACAAGAGGGTATGAAGTGTACATTGACTTAATGGACGGGTCCGTCTTGAGTGCCAGAGAGGCGCTGCTGGGGCTGCCGCTTCGAAAGGGGAGCTCCTCGCAGTGTGGCCAGCCGCACGCTTCTCTCCAGGCAGCCTGTTGACATGAAAAGTACCTGAGCGGCTGATGCTCAGCTCCTGGGCAGAGGACCAGAATAGTTATGCGTGGGGATCTTTCATGAGGGAAACTGCGCACACTGCCAAGGATCAGAGGCAGCAGGACACCACCCCAGGGCTTGGAACCTGGAGGCCTGGTCTGTCCTTGTGGGCAGCAGCAGAATTGGGCGTGAGTGTCGCCATTTGCCAGTTTGTCTGCGGGTTCATTGAGAAGAGCAGCCCTTCTGGGAGTTGCGGCCGACTCCCCAGAGAGTTTTTTCAGGATGGGGATTATCAGCATTAGCCCCAAAGTGCACGTGGCCATCTTACCTCCCTTTTCCTCTTTTTCAAGCCTATTTTTTTTTTTTGTAGGGTGGGTAAAAATGTTCCTTGTGGCTTAAGTGCAGCAGTGAAGCTTTGGCTGCCATCCGCATTTTTACTTCCTTTCTTGGGGGAGAAGGAATGGGGTGGGGGTCTCACTGGCCTTAAAATCCAACTTTAAGAAAAGCACGGGAGAAAGGTTTTAAAGAAAGCGGGAGAGATGGGAGACACGCCCACCCTTTACGTGCCTGAATGAGCAGCGAGTTCTCCTTGAATCGCCTCGCTCTTCCCATGCGCTTTAGGTGTTTGGCTGAAATACGACCCCGAAGCAAAACCAGAGCGGTCCGGTCTGAAGTGCCTGAGCTCAGCTGGCCCAATTGCTAACACCGCTGGGACAGACACATTCTTATTGTCAGGCAGCAGTGCCCAGGGCAGCTTCTGGTGCTTCACCTTGTTATCTTTTCCCCCAGTTACTCTTTTTGAAGTAACAGGGAGGACATGGGGGACTTTGCAGGCTTAAGGCAGTAGGAATAAGGATGGCGAGGAGAGCAAGAAACTAAACAGGGCCAGTGTCAGCTGTGGGCCAGCAAGTGAGTAGTGGGCCACCCAGCCAGGGCTTCCCATCGCCAGCGTGGCACTCGGCACCCTCCCCTCTGCGGCTGGCCGGGGCGCCCATCTGGCTCGCAGGTGGCTTTGCGGAGCCACATGTGTCCGCAGGGGCCATGCGGCCTGCAGCCGGAGGGGGGCCGCGATATCTTCCGGACCCCTCATCCGTCACGTCGCTGGGCCTGCACGCCTCTAGGTTGTGGTTGCTGTTGCTGTTGCCGTTGTGTGTACACGTGCTTAGCTGTATTTCTTTCTTTATTCTGTCTTACTCCACCGAATATCCAGTATTCCCTGTGTCTGTGTATAACAACAGAAGCATTAGTTGCATACATAGTCACGGACTCATGCCAGACGTCCCTTTTAAAAACATACTTTCATCCTGTAATTCCATCTTTTTGATTTCTTTTTAGCGAGACAGTGATAATACTAATCTGTCACCACAGTCTCCTGTGTCGTCTGAGGTACTAGTCTGTGTGTGTGTGTGCGTGTGTGCCTACTTGCTTGTGCGAGGACTTCGGCTGAAGCCGGTGGTCGCTCACGGGGGAGTTGGAGGGGCCTCCACACGGAGTAGGCACTTCATGGAAGAATTGCCCAGAGCATGCTGCGTTCCAGCTGCGGCACACACCGGAAGGAAGTGGGGCCGTGACTCCAGGCGTAACTCTTCCTCGTGAAAAGCACATGCTGTGAAGAGGGCACACCCAGGGGCACCCGCTTCGCCCGCCTCCCGGAGCCGGGGGCACCCAGCTGCTCTGCATTCCTGCGCGCTCCGCTGCTGCGGTCCCTTGCTGGGAGCGAGGGTCCTCTGGGCAGTTCTCCTTTACAGGCCCCGCTTCCTTTCCCTGGGGTAGCCCAGGCAGTCGAGGGTGCAGGCACGGGCCCCCTGAGCCACCCTGTCTGCCTGCCCTGACACTTCCCGGAACGTCACGTTCCCCGGGTTCCAAAGCAGAGCAGTTACTCATCTCCGGGAACAGGCAGGCAGTTGCCACGTGAACGCCACTCTCGGTGCATTTGCGGTTGAACCACGTGACCTGACATCAAGCCTTCTCTCCCCATGGCAGGATTATGACAGGGCGGATGGCAGCTCTCACGGCCCCTTCGGGCTGAAGCCCAGATCAGGTGAGGCTCCGAGTCACATGCCAAGTTTCTGAGGGTGATTTAGAAGTAGGATGTGGTGGAAGGGTGGTCCTGCCTTCATCAAGGGAAGTAGTTCCATGCTGTCGATTTCTGGGGAGGATTGGAAGAGGTTTGGACCAGTGTGACCCTATATGCTGAGATTTTGTGGGTGGGGAGGGGGGTGATCTTAAAGGTGTCATCTTGTGCAGTTCAGGCTGAAAAATGGTGGGGTGCTCTGAGAATTGTAGGCCTTTTCTCTGTCTAGGATCACACGCTGTGAAAATCACATAGTCACCAAAGAAGGCATTAGAGAAGTTGGTTGCTGGGTCCTCTGTTGGGACTCGTGTGGAGATCTCGGTTTGGAAAATCCTGAGGCTAGAGAAAGCTGGAGGAGCATTCTCAGCTGTGGAAAAGTCCTTCTTGTGGCCCAGCCTCGCTCCTCTTCCGGTTCCCTTCAAAGTCAGAAACACTTTACTTTTCCACACTGCTGGTCCTGCATGCTAAATCAGCACATCTGTTATTTTGTTAAACTTCGTTGTATTTATCATATTGCTGCTAGTCTCCAGAGGCAGACACAGAGTAGCTCTCCAGAGAGACCTCAGCTCCCAGTGTTCCTGATGCTTGACCAGGCTGGCTGGGACTTCTGGGAGTTGAAGCCCAAAACTTCTCTAGAGCTGCCTCCCTGTCCTTGGGCACCACCTGTTGGAGTGGTAAGAGATACCCTTGATAATTATTCATAGATAATAAATGCATGCAAATAAATGTGTGCTTCCTTTGCTTTGTGCAAACTCATGGTGATCTGTCTGCGGAGTTCTGAAGCCCTGGTAAAGCCTCTTCAGGACTCTGCGTTTGGGAGCAGTCTTGTGTTTAGGTAGCATTGCTTCAACACAAATGGGTCAGTTTGCTTTGCTTTGCTGGTTGTAAAGCTTATTAACACTGCTCAGAAGCAGAACAAGCCCCTCAAAACCATTTTTCCCATCTGCAGCTTTTGGTCGTTCTCGCCAGGACTACAGTACCATGGACCCTGGATTCACAATGAGGAGGAAGATGGAGCACTTGAGGGAAGAGAGAGAGCAGATAAAGCAACTGCGCTGTGTAAGCTTTTTCTGAAACTTGAACATGGATCTGAAAACGGATCCGGGGCAGCTCCTGTTCTTTGCAGGGTAAACTTGTGGCCAGTTGCCCATCTTCATATGTTTCAGTAGTCAAGTTAAACGTATCAGAAATGTAAAACTGCCTCCATTCTGCCTTGGTCAATGAATGTTACCTTGGGTGTGCTTTTGCTTGCAACAGAATCTTGAATCACGTTTGAAGGTCAGTTTGCCAGATGACATTGGTGCAGCGTTGATGGACGGGGTGGTTCTGTGCCATCTGGCCAACCACATAAGACCTCGGTCTGTCGCCAGCATCCACGTCCCATCACCAGCTGTGGTGAGTAAAGGTGTCTGTTCACATCTGATCAAGGACATGCTTTTCACAGATTCTTTTTCGGCCCTCTTCCTAGTGCATTAGATAAACCCCTCTAATCCTGCATTTTAGAAAGGCTGCCAGCATAAATTGGCCCTTTCACATTGATACTTGCCTCTCCTGGCTCAGTGACTGTGCTTCTCTTGCAAGTTCCTACCATAATGACCCGTGTGTATTTTTTTAACAGCCTAAGCTCAGTATGGCAAAGTGCCGAAGAAATGTTGAAAACTTCCTCGATGCTTGTAAAAAACTGGGTGTCCCACAGGTAAAATTCTGAAGTGCCTTTCTAATTGTGATGACCAGATCATTGCAGAAACTCTTCAATAGCAGCCTCATTCTTGGGGGTGCTTAGCAGGGGAGGGACATGCTTGTTCACACGACGTTTCCACCCCACGTGAGGTGGCTCCCGCGTGAGGTAAACTGGTGCCGCTGCCTCACGCCAGCCCGACCTGTGCTCTGGTGAAGGCAGCCTCTCGCCTTCCCCTAAATGCCCGTGCATTTCTCCCCATGCTCCCCCCCCCACACACACACACCTGGACTCTACTGCAGATCATGTTGTGTGGGACTGAAACTGCCGTGCAGCCGTTCGCATTTCCAGCCCAAGTGAGCTTCAGGTTTGCATTTCCAGGCAGCACCTGCAGCTTCAAAATGGCTTGAGACTGCGAGGGCCTTCAGAAGCAGGGCCTGCTTTAGGGAGGAAATGGTTTGATGTTCAGAGAAGAACTGGGCGTGAGGTGTGCCACTCTGCAGGACAGCCCGCCGCCCTTCTTCCCACTAAGCACAGCACTCGATGCCTTTCTCACATGCAAACCTGTGTTTCCCTGTGGACCCGGGCGGGGCGGTGCACGCCGTTCCTGGCTGCAGCTCCCATCCTGTTTCAAGCGGAACGGGCCTCAGAGCTCCCTGTCCCAAAATGTGAGCAAATTGGAGTGTGGGAGTAGGGATCTGTATATTTAACGGCATCAAATGATACGGAATGACGTGTCCTTACCTCTTCCAGGAGAGACTGTGCCTGCCCCATCACATTTTGGAAGAAAGGGGTCTTGTGAAAGTTGGACTCACAGTTCAGGCTCTTCTGGAAATACCTTCCTCAAAAGTGTCTCAGCTTTCCTGCCTGTGACCAGTTTCTCAGAGGACAGACTTGAGGCCTGACGTGTGTTGATGTGATTTGACCCCAACCCGTTCAGCCGCCTCCAGAGGAACAGCCACAGCCATCGGGAGCCTGTTCAGGCCGGATGCTTTAGGCAGAGCCTCACTTCGGACAACTGCTTAGAACCCTGGTGTCAAACTACAGTTATCCAGCATAATAAGGAATAGTATTGCTTGCTTGTTTAACTTGGAGCCATAACAGGTTTTGCGATCATCAGATTCTCTTTGCAGGAAGTACACAGTCTCCCATGAATACATCATGATGTCTTTTTAAAAAGCAAAAGCAACTTTTAAAAAATTAATTCTGCACTGTGTTAGGTTTTCTCCTAGGTTTGCAGCACACGTTTTATAATGAGAGACAAATATCGTGAGAGATGTTTACATGGCAAAGTCATGGAAAGCATTTCTCTGTTGTGCACTGCATCGTTTTAGGGTGTGCTTACAAGGGCCACACTAAAATGTCATGTGTGAAGCAGCTCTTAGAAATCACACGTCCATTGATAAGTTTAAATTTATGCCATTTTTATGTACATCTGAAAAAACCCCACGTAGCATAGTGGCAGAAACCTGGACAATTAATCATGTAATCCAGTTACCTGTTTCCAAAATCCATTTCACCAGTTTCATTTCTTGCACTTCTTACTGTTGTACCATTTCCAATATTTTAGTTGGGTGGGTGATGATGATGATGACGAAGACGAAGACGATGATGACAGAATAGTATACAAACTAAAGGACAAGTTTTGTGGGTTTTTTCAGTATTCTAGGTTGGTGCCAAAATATTTTTTCAGTTGTACTGTAGATTGTTTACATGTGAAGTGCCTGTGTAATTGATAACTTTTACTAGTCTTAAACATTTTTGCAATTCCTTTATGTCTCAATAGATGCAATGTGTATTTTTAAATATTAGGTTTTTTGTAAGACTGGTAATATGTGAAGTTTAAAGGACTAACATCTGAGTGTTGGATGTTCTTCAGTTTGCACAGTTTGAATTTATTAGATTTGGTTTTTAGAAAAAAAATGTAAATATGCTTTTATTTATCATATTTAATTTGATACCTAATCACTTTTTAATGTATTGTTGGACAATGAACGTCACTTTTTTAAATTATTTTCCTTGTTTGGGATGAACAATAACACAGAGTTTGATTTTAAAGGAGTCCTACAGAAGCATATGAGTTAAGGATGTTGGGTTGAAAACTGCCAAAAAGAAGTAAATCTCAGGTTTATATTGTGACTGCCCAGATCTGACATCTTGCACCTGGCTTCACATTAATTTTTTAATCTAAGGAAATGCCATAGAGTAGTGAAAGTGAGGCTGTTTTGCAATATTCGTGGTATCATGGGGCAAATGGCTGGTTTGGGACCGTGTGCCATTTTCTTGGCCCTGTGCAGGCACCAATGCTCCGCTGCAAATCAGTGTGGGAGTGCATCTGCCCTTCCTGGCTTGCCACACCCCCTTCCCCCCCGCTCGGCTCTTCCCGCCTGGGAGGTACCATGGCTGCTCACCGCCAGGTGAACCTGGGCAAGCCGAGTGAAGTTGACGCTTCATTCTGGCCACAAAAACACATGGCGACTGGATCATGGGGCAGGAGCCCTCCGTTCTGCATTACGCATCACTTTTCAGAAGCTGAGTTGTGTGGTGACGCTCGGGGCCCCGGGAGTGGGCGCAGGCTCACCTGTCTCCACCGAGGGTCTTTCCTGAAGCACAAAAGCTGCTCCCACCTCACGGAACACCCTGGTGAGAGTGAAAGGCAGCATACACATTGCTCTGTCTCTCAGTTCACCTTTCAGGTGCTCCATGTGTGTGGTTGGTTTGTCTCGTTAATGCTGTTTGCCTCTGTCGTATTTAGCTAGCCTGAATTTTCCTTCCCTTGTCCAAACAATTAAGAAAATCTGTCCGCTACCCAAAGATTTTTGTTTTGTTGTCGTTTTGCGTTCTCAGCTGCCATAGTACATATTCGTAACGGGGCCGAGAACACCAGAGGAGCTGGCAGGGTGACGGTGGTGATCAGAACTCATTTTTCCCTAGACACATGCAAAGTGATGCTTTAATGCTGACTCCCCGCTCCTGCCCCGGGGTTTTGTGAACAGCATCCCTTGGCTGGATGAAAAGTGCCCAGAGCTGGGTCAAATTTTTAAACACAGCAGGAACACTTTAGATTCAGTCCGCACTTTGTGATGCGTATTTTAGTTGCTACAACAGAGAAGGATAAATACTTCACTTGGGGCTGATTTTAGGTTTGTCATGGGGCTTCCTGGCTTTGACCCACCCACCCACCCCTAGCACAGCCCAGCCCAGCCCAGCATAGCGAAGCCCACCTTTCAAACGCAACCTGCATTTTGGCTAGCACTGGAAAACAGAAAAGCTGGCCTGGGGCACACAAGGAGACTGCCAGGAGCCCAGGTTGTGTGGGCGTTGTGTCCTCCCAGCGTGCAGAGCGCTGACCCGGATTTCAAAGGGCTTGAGGAGGCTTCCCTCTTAGAAGGAGTTGGAAGACGGCCCCCTGCCCTGTCCTGCCCCGCAACATCCCAGGGAAGGGCCGGGATGCAAAAGCGCGCTCTTGTTCAGGGAAGCTTTGGCCTCGTGCTGCTCCAAAGAGCAGCCGCCAGCCAGGTGGAGAACCAGGCCTCCGAGCCTTCCAGGCGGTTTTCCATGTGGAGGAGGGCTGGGGCAGGGAAGAAAGGCCGGTGCTTCAGGCGAAGTGTCCCAGTGGCTGCATGGTCCTTCAGGCCCTGCTTAGAATCCCTGTGCCCCTCTTCTCTGCGAGAGAACCAGGCAGCACAGCATAGCCAGCCTTCTGATGTGTGTGGAACAAAACTTCCCAGCTTCACGCAGTCGGTGGGTAACTTTAGTCAGGAAGCGGCACACTGCTGCCTTTCCCACTCGGAGTGCAGCGTGCTGCGGATCAGCAGATGATGCGTGGGTGGCGATTTTTCTAATTAAGGCAGCCTTCCACTTCTTCCAGCCAGATCGCATGTTCTTGCTTTCAGTACTCAACAACTGTGAACATCTGAGCGCGTGCACTTCCACAGGCAGAAGCCTTGAATAAGTGCATTTAAATCTGCCTTTCCTGTGACCCAGTAAAACTCAAAGCCTGGTTCTGAGTTAGGTCTCCTTTTCATAGAACAGCATTGACTTCCAGCCCTGAAAGCCCTTTGCAAGTCAGAAACCAAAGTTCCTCTTTTTTTGTACAGCTGATCTGTATGATTTGATCAAAACAACCCTGGAACCTAAACTTAAGCCAGCCTGCAACTGTTTTTCTTGCCAAATGTCTGAGAACCAGTATTGGAAGGGTACCAGGATCCATTGAAAGACCTCCCAGTACCACTGCAGCTTAGGATTGTGACAAGACATCCGTGCAGGGGCTCTGGCGTGGCACCAAAGCTGTTTCTGCCCACCTTTGGAATAAGCAGCATGAGCACTTAACACAAACCATTGGGATGTGATGGTTACTTTCTGCAAAATGGGCTTGGTGACTGTACGTGAACGCAAAAGCCTCACCTGCTGTGGGAACCTTCACCTCACTCCCAGCCTGTTCTGCATGAGGAGGCAATCGTTAGATTTTGTTAAATTCTAGGTTGTGGAAATACCTCTGTATTAAGTTTAGGCCTGTTCGTTGTACCTTAATTTGGAGTGTTCTAGTTGTAGGTATTAAGATCTTTTATTCTTCTTACATGAGGAGCAGAACAAGAAGTAGTACGTACAAAAGTGCAGTGATGTAAAACTTAGAACTTCTTACCATAGCCCAGAAAACATGGTTAAATCATGCAGTTGAAAATCATAATTATGGTTGCTGTTAAAAATAATGCAGAAAGGGAATTTATAATTGAGCAAGCACTAAATGAATCTGATCTTTTCTATCAATGGGACCTAGATTTGAATATTTTCCTAGTGCTGGGTGGAGAGCTTATCTGCAGAGAATCTCTTCCTCATACGTCCAGAGCTCCAAAGAGTTCAGGCACTGAGGAGTGAAAGCGTCAGCACCAGCCAGGGAAAACGGTGAGAAATGGCCACCGCCTTCACGAGCAAATCCGCACAAGACGACATTCTCCACGCGAATGCTTTCCCGTGGGATCCAAGCTCCAGGTTTTGAGATGTTTAAGCGATGGTGCATTGTTTTCTTTTTTCCCGAAACCCTTGCAATATTGTAAGAGTATTGATTGGTGGGACCATATGAACGTGCGAGCTGCGCACCCTCCGCGGAGGGATTTTGCTGCTGGATTGCAAAGGAATTCAGGAGGCAGAAGTGCAAACTTGTGCAGTCTGTAGAAGGAAGAGAACCAGTATCACAAGGCCTTTGCCTTTCCCCCCATTTTTAAAGTAAAACTTATTTTCTTGGTCAGTATGGACTTATTTTGTATCTTCCCTTCCTTAATTCAATAACAATAGCTGAATTGACCAGCTGCTTCTATGTAAATGTGTGCAAAACTGAATACAATTCCAGCAGTTAGAAAAGTGACCCAGACCAGCTGGGCACTTGATGGTGTGTATATATTGTCATATCGCTTTGACACTGCATTTTTTTACCCCGCATTCATGTCCTGTAAAATGCTTTTCCTGCCCCCACCCTTTCCCCCCTTTTCATGGTTTATGTACTTGTATATGATTCTTAACACTCTTTTTTCAGGACTGCTTTTATTGCTGGAGTTTCCAACAAGTGTACGTTGATTGGAAACAGTCCTGTTGTTTAGTTTTCTTTTGTAAATAGTTTTCTATCAAAATCTGCATGTATAAGACCCACATGTCCAAAACCAAATGTACATATTCTATGTATAAAATGCAAACTCTTTGATAATTCTCGTGTGGTGAAATGGCATCTGCAGTTCAAGGTTGCCCATAAGAGTCTCGGGGATGCTGCATGCGTTCTTCGCGGCAGGTCTTGCAGCGGATGTTGAAGCCGTAGTGAGACGCACTTGGTGTGGTCCTGGATGCCGGCTGGTTTGACATTCCCTGCGGAGATAACTGTGCAGTGACAGGTTTCACTGGAGGAGTTCTAAATAGGACAGAATTGGTCTTAATCCTCGGGCAGGCAGGACTTGATACCAACTCAGTGCCCCAAAAGACGGTGCAAACTTTCTGGTTCTCCATAAACCATCCATCTGGGTAGCACAAGAGGCCTGAAGGTGCAAGAACAGAAAAATAACGGGAGGAGCGGGCTGAGGCTGGGTCTTGCGGCCAAGAGGCCTGCAGTACAGGCACAGTTCAGATCTCGTGACTGCGGGGGTCACTGGCGGAGCAGTGTGCCTCAGGTGGCGCCTGATGTTCTGGAATGGGGGGGGGGGCAATGGCTGACACCTGCTCTGAGCCCACAAGACTGGCGGCAGCCAGGTCTGCCTCTTGTCCCAGATGAGGCCTGCAGGCCTCCACAATCCTCCTTGGTGTTTGTGCATCCCCCAAACGGATTTCCAGCGTTTCCCCCAAACATTTCAGATGTTTTATTTGTGGAAAGGCATGGCTTTGCTTTTTCTGCATCTCAGCAAAGACCATAATTAGAAGCTCAGCAAAGGAAGAAGCTTTTCCAAGCTCTCCAGCAGCCAGGTAAAGCGGCACGTTTTGGCTTCAGCTACATTTTTTGCTGGCTGTGCCCCCTGAAATTAACCCCTGCTCTTGCGAACAGAAGGGCTGTCATATTTCTCTTTTTCTTCATTCTCTGCCTGTGGAGAATGAGTCAGCCTTTACAGCTGACCTTACGTTTTCAGAAATTTGGCTATTGCTTAATGGTGGACTGGGGGATTTTTTTTCCCTCCTGGATCTTGAATGCTTTTATTTATGGAATGGTATTGTCAGAATTGTTTATTATTTCAGGGATGAATTTTCCACTTCCTTCAACCTAATTTTTAAAAATAAAATTTCAACAAAAGGAAAAAAGCTATGGCTATGTAAAATTAACTATATCCACGTCTATGCATGTCACACAACACTGATATATTTTCCAAAACACCCATTGGTTGATAGTGAACCCTCCCACCACCCTTTAAAATGTGCAAGTGTCACAATCCTTTCAAAGGGTTGAAAAGTGTTTGATGGAGGAGCTGGCAGTCTGTCTCCCAGCGTTGCAACACCGCTTTCTTTAGCTGGCAGAACGTCTCGGAGAACCCATTTGTGCTGCACATACATCGATGTCCAGGGAGCAGATAGAAAATTTAAAAACTCATGGAGATCAGTAAATATTAAGGAGTGTTTCAACATGAGATGCATCGGAATGACTTCCCAAGAAGGGGCAGCTATGAGGCATTACCCAAGCATAGACTTAAAAGCCGCATTAGCTGTACTGCAGCTGCAAAATATAGCCAACCCCTTTTTGAAGGGATGTGGCATCCAGTGAGCATGGAGTAAAATGTTTTGTTGAATAGGATGCAACTTGCAATCCGTAGACTCCTCAAGTCACCAATGCAGTGTTCACTGGATTATGCACAATGGGAGAATCCAGTTCCCAATCTTATTCATTGGGATTTTACATTTTGCCTTTCATATTTATTGGCCAATAGCAAAATATTTCTAGATCCAGATCATAAGTTTATTTACCTAGTTGGCCTAGGTAAGCACTTCCAATAGATGCTGAAGCCAGCAGGACCCGCCCCAGGTACAAGCACCTGTGACTTCTACAAATACTGCCATTCAGCTGTGGTTGGTGAACCATAATTAGCCCTCAAAACAGAATAAAAACTCAGCCTAGCAGCACCCACAAGTTAGTCCAGGTTAAAATTCACCATGACCACCATACACATTTCCATACCCCTTGGGGGGGGGGGAACAATCTGGACTTACCAGTACATCAATTAGGATGGGAAAATGTATTGAAATATAATTAATGCAATATTAAATGCCATGCATCTCTAACTAACTGTTGTAACTGGGGAGAATCCTTACCCATTCTACTATGCCTAAAACAGAATGTCATCCATCCATTCAGAGAGAGGCCCCAGGTAATTTTTCTGTCCTGTGTTAACACAATTCACAGGAGAAAATTTTCAGATCAAACATGTTTTGCACGCAGCAGCTGCAAGTGGAGAGCTCTGTTTTTCTGGCTAACAGTTTTAAGGTTATTTTCCAGCACGGGCTTAGCTCTTTACTCTGTGCTGGAGAATCCGGAAATGGATCTCAGGATGGAAAAGTTAACCCTGTGAATTTGAAGCATCTTTGTTATTAGGACAAGCAGTACTTCTAAATAGGCAGGCAGGCATCAGTGAAACAGGGGAGTAGATGAGGTCCAAGCTTGATCACTTTTGAGTTTCCCATAATATAATTTCATGTAATACGGATTTGAAAGTTGAAGCTTCTCTTGGAGGCGATCTCCTGTCCCTCTCAGTTGATGAAAATCTTGGAGTTCTACCATCAGCCCATGAGGTGCCCTGATGCCAGGAGGGGAAACTACGTGAGCCGGCTTGTTGGTCTCACCATGTGAAAGCCTGACCTACAGCTCTTATTGAAACTCCAAAGCCCAGATACTTCCTAGTGAGTTAAAGGAGAGACAGAACGTGGAAAACGCTCCCCAGACCTTGGTTGAATTGTTATTGGCCCCTGCCTTTACCAAGGAATCGGAAACTTTATAGTCCGTGGTTTGATAATTAATGCAAAACAATGAAAAAAACCCCACTCAAACCAAACACTGAAGAAGAACTGTGATCCTTTCCTGCTTCAAGAATTTCTTCAGATAACAGAAAAATCCAAAACCATGATTCATAAGAAGAAACATGAGGTTATTTATAACAGATGGGATGTTTCAAGGGAATAGCAACTCCAAACAATTTTGGACATTCCTCTCCTCTTTCTAATACATGAGTAACCCAGTCACCCCTTGCATCCCTTTGTCAGTATGGGAACAATTCTTTTCAGCCCGGAATACTTCCAGTGATCCAGTGGATATCACACTGAAGCAACCTGAGAATTTTCCATCCTGGCCAGCAATAGCGAAAGAAGAAGTGAGGAAATTATCAGGGGAATGCATTGGTAGACATGGTAGGCATGTCATGGAGCCAGCTGGAGCCGGGGGTCAGATTAGATGGCCGGGAGGCCCCTTCTGACTCGCTCTGTTTCTATGTTCTGTGTTTCTAATTCAGGCAGAGCGCCTGAGCCAGAGTTAAGTTCCACTGGAATTTTTCCTGGCTCATCTTGATTGGTGGGTGGTGTGATGTATCAGCACCCATTTATACTATCATTAAACAAATCTCCAACATGTGGCAAAGGGCAATAATTGCCCCAATTCACAGGAAAGGAGCAGAAACAATCTGTGTAATTACCAGCTCATTAGTTTACTATCTGTACTGGGGAAAATACAGGCCCCCATCCTGTTGCACCACTGACTTGGCTGGATTTCCCTAGAGAACATTCCCGGTCCTGAGCCGGCAGGCTTCATTAGAGGACGATCAACAATCGGCCATTGTATCCTATTATCCCATCTGGCTAAGAAATGCGCCATCGCAAAAGGGCATCTTTATGTGGCTTTTGTGGGCTTACAAACAGCCTTTGATTCTATACCAAGAAGTGCCAGTGGGAAAACTAGGGAAGACTTGGATCCACCAAAGACTTCTGTGCTTAACACAGACTTGGGAACCTTCAGCTGCTCAGGCTCCCTGTAGCTCCAAGGGGCATTTGTCCAATTCCCCTCCTTTGCAGAAGCCAGTCAGGCAAAGGGAGTCTGCTGGCTCCCATTTTGCTTAATCTTTATATTAATGGCTTGGCTTTTACACTAAGTGGCCAACAGTTTCACTCTCCTGTATCGCTATGAACTTTTATTCCAATTTTATTACATGCCGGCGATGCTGTGCTACTCAAGAACCCCTTTTTTGACGACTTTTATGTTCTTTTGCATAGTAGTGACTTCAAGGACCAGATTATAAATTATAAGAACAAAATGATGCAGTTGTCCAGGGCCTCAAGTCAGCAGAGATACCTTTGATGTGTAGATAGAAACCCTCTAGAACGGGTTACCCAATTTAAATATCTTGGGGTCCATTTTTGATCAAACATGCTTTGGGCACCCATGTCAGGAATACGCAAACTGATCTAGTTTTTCTAGTCTCGGTGTGGGCAGTATAGTCCAGCTGCCATCCCAGCAGTGTTTGACAGCAAAGTAGGATCACGATTCTTGTCTGGAGCCCCTTTGTGGGTTGAAGCCTGTGGGGATCCCATTGATTTCCTTTTGAATTATTTTCTTCGAAAAATTGCTGGTGCTCCCAGTTGCATTGCTGGAGTATCACTGAGGGCAGAACCAGTTCTCAGATCTTTCAAAGCTCAGATTTGGGCCGCAACATTTCAATTCTGGGTCAAGATTTTAAGCTCCACAGCTAGTTAACACCTACTGCAAGCAGAGCCCTAGCAAAGTCTGTGGAATGAACTGGTTGAAAGACAAACGTGGGCTTTAGGAATTGCATGATCTGAAAGGACCAAGGCCTACAGCAGCTCTCTTCACTCTTAAGCTGTCTGGAAAAATTGGATACTAGAAGCACAGTGATCAGAGCATGGAACATGTGCTCACCTTTCTGTTTAGGTCAAACGTTGCCCCGGCCTATATTAACTTCTGGACAGTCCCATGCTGTGCTGGCTGGCTGGATTGAATACCATTCCCCCAGGAGAGCTACTGAGATGTTCAAACACAGGCCCTCATTCTGAATGGGGGGTGTCAGTGCAGGCTTAGCCAAAAATAGACACTCCAGCACTGCCTCTTGGATTGCGACCTCCTTATTCTGGCACGAGATAGTTGGATAAACCCCGATGTTCAGGACTCTAGATGTGATTCGGATGCATTGAGGTTGGTTTTGGTGGGGCGGACACTTGCCAAGTTCTTTTCTCAGC